CCCTATGTAACCTGGATCCTCCATATTCATGCAGGGGCACAAACTCCCAGTGACTCAATCCTGCAAAATCTTCCAATGCTTCAACTTGCAAGAAACCTCAATCAATCCTACAAATTCGTGCATTTTGCCCAGAGGATTTTGGAGGATTGGGAACTGGGGGTAGGGTTAATTAAATTTAGCCCACTGCGAAACGTTACACTTTAAGTTCAATTGGTTACAGCTAGGCCATATAATATGCAGATATATACGTGCTGAAAATGTTCCCTGTTTCAAGATATGACATCATTTTGAAGCAAAATAGAATTTTGTGGAGAATTTGTGCTACTTAGGAATTGAAAATACGGTGTTTGGTTCCTGCAGTGTCTCAAATTGTCAAGCGTTTTTCGTATAACTTCATATAATATGGCCTGGAGAAATCGACACATCGCTGTACATCAGCAGTGAGGCTGACACCAGTGTGCGTGGTACCAGTTATAGCTTCTGGTTTGAGAAACTTTGTGCTATCCCGGAAATTCCTGAAATATTCGACATTCCTTATCCTGTACTTGTATCTTTTACTCACAACCCAGCTGTCTAAAACATCTGCCCCTTTTTCCCAGTTAAGTATAGACTCATGATATTCTACTCCGAGCCTTTGGAAGAGCGCTGGGAGAATACTTGCCGGGTCATTCACAAGGTCGTCGGAATCCACAATGATGGGATCCGGTTCAATATTTTTCTCTTGGAGATATTCATACACGTTGACTGCTTCTTTGAAAGCTAGTTCTTTCCCCAGGAGCTTAGCCGATAGCTTGTCCAGCTCAAGCTTCCCTTCCTCCCCCTTAAGTCCACGAATAGCTATGATCTCCGGCACGCACCTCTTGAAGGACTGAAACACCTTCACCGGGTCCCGGATAAGGAAGATGTGGCGATAGCCCTCGGGGAGATACTCAAACTTGCCGTCGATGCAGTAAGCCATCTCCTTGGCAAAGACGAACCTCTTACCTGGGTAGTCGGCTTCCATTTGATTCTTCATCCATGGGTAGGTGCTCTTTCCCTCATCGTAGTCGGAGCTTTTAGGGTCTACGAGAGCATCGTGCATCTTTTCTGCAGGGGAACCTGACTGCAGAGATGTAAACTCGTCAAGACTGGCGCGATATGCCGACGAGGAAAGCTGGAAGAGGATCTTGGAACCTGGCACTCTGTCCATGCATTTTGCTACGATGGAGGCACGGGAACGTGGAGTGGTCCACATGACGACTCGGACTGTATCACTCATCTTTCATATTTCACCTTATGGCGGCTTTGCACTGTTTGCAGATCTGTACAAGAAACTTGGCAAAAGATAATTGATAGGAATGTATGAAACCAGCTATCACAGCTCTTCCATTTTTAAGTTTAAAAATGCAGCAGGCTGCTTCAAGGAATATATGCCTTAAAAATGAGGAGTCGTGTTTGAGTTCTATTCGAATCTTGCCTGGACCCTGCAGTCTAGCTGCCCAAGCTTAGTCTGTACATATGAACGTCACCAACCCTTTAAAAGATGTTACGCGTACGGAGGACAACTAAGCTGGTTCTGAACCTCAGATACACAGGCTGCATCCGAATCTCTTGTCTAGAGCTAGGTCTAGGTCTTCGGTCCATTGGAATTGCGTGGAGACGCGCAGACAATAGACCTAGCCATAGCTCTTCGGACACGGCCTTATTAGTGTTATGGTGACATTGAGATGAGTTACGTCTGTACCCCTCGGAGATCAGGGGAATGAGAGGAGACTTGATTGAGGTGTTCGAGATGCTAAATGGTCTGGGTGACATTAAGCCGGATGACCAGTTTTACATATCTCACAGCACTGGAACGAACCAGAAACCACAAATTGTAGCTGTTGAAGAGGCAGCTCAACATTGAGCCAAACAATGCATGTGGCCAGCATTGTGTTTGGCATGCGCAAGAGTTTATCCACTATATGAACACAGGGCGAGGGTTTCCCTCGTTTTTTTCCCGAATGACACAATCTACGTGCAGAATTCGCATCTTGGCTTGAGTTCTGAAAACAAATGACACTGCGTTCGATTAGGATGCTTCCACATTCATTTGAGCAGATAAAAATCAGAGAAAACCTGTTTTACTTAGAGGTGCTCTTTAATGTCTGGGTTTTTAACAGTGAAACAGAAGCACTCACAACAAAAGTTTTAGAGTAGGTTAAGGATAACAAGGTTCCAGTTGGCAAATTTGAAATAATTAGCCAAAACATTACAGCTAAGATGTACGTTTTTTGAGCCACTTCTGACAGCTCAGCTGGTACACAGAGTGATGTTATATCCAGAAGATGAGCACAGCACGTCGCTCGGCTTCAATATACACACATAAGCCCACACATGTTGGATGTACTACTGAACTTACCATACAATATGTCCTTGAACTTGGAATGCTTGAATTACTTGAATATATACCGATGACTTCTTTATGAAACTCTAGGGCGCCTTTTCAATGTACGAAGTACATGTACATGCTCAGGTACACCCAACCCCGGTACTTTTTAGATTTGCCAATCGCCACCACGCTCATACGGGAAGTGGTGGCTCGTCCTGTTTACTGCATGCCCTCTACCAAATGGCACGGTCGTCGTTTATAAAATAATTCTGCGCTCACAATGCTCTTTATCAGCACACAGAGGTCAATGAAGCTATCTTATCATGCCGACCGAGCACAAAGTTCATATAAAGGCTTGCCCGCATTTGATCATTGAGTTGGACATATATGCAGTTCTTAAAGGGATCAACTTACTGCGAACTAGTCATGCCTGGATTGGTCGATAGAGTCTTACCCGGAGCATGGGACAAATCCGGGTGGAGTTTTATTTGGAGGGGTGGGGGTAGGGAACTTTTTGTTTGTGGGGTGGGGGGTTATAAGGCCGGTTCACACCTCGCGCAAAAGCGAAAACGAACTCGAATTTGTGGCCCCCACTTCATTGCACAGGAATTCACACAAACTGATGGCCAGGTCACATCAAAGTATACTCGTTACGATTTCACAAAAGTTGAAAAAATTTAAATTTGAGCGAACATTCGCTGCAATTTTTTTATAGCGTCAAATTCGATTTTGCCTTCACTTGAAGTATGAACTGGTCTTTCCCAATGCTTCTTCTGGAAAGCAAGTGGCACCTTCGTGTATTTACTATATTACACGGGGTCGAATGTTATCTGTTTTTCAAATCCATCCTCTGAAGTAAAATACTAGTGACGCATATTCCACTTTCTCAGTCAAATATTCCCGTGAGAGCACCCGTGTGGTACTTAAGGAGGTTTTCACGTGATGCATCTTGACAGGCCAGGCAAAGGCATTTTAGTGTAGGTGGAGGCGCATCCATTTTCGAATCTGTGTATTGACAGTTTCATGTACGCCAGAATGTTTCGAAGACGCGTTTCCGGGCACATCCGTGTAAATTGAACGCTGACGGTCAAAAATCACGTGACTGAAAAGCCTCTGTAGCTCTTGAAAACTTCATAACAGTAGTTTTTATAGACCATACGCCCGACTTTTTATTCTCTTTTTAATCGGAATTTTTGCTCGCCAGTCTCCCGTTATCTACCCGAAGACAATCGCACCGTGCCGTACACTTCATGCGTCACACGGTGCGCGTGCAGCGGCGGGCCAGTGGGCGATCTAACTCCACATGTCGGTTTGACCATTTTCGGAGGTGGGGGTAGGAATCTTGTTTTTATCGTGCGACCCTTCCCAGCTGGGCAATTACGCTGATGAGACCGATACCGGCAATATCGCAACACCCGCCGCGCTAGCTATAGCTGTGACAGGCAAAACAAATACTTCGACGATACAGGAGAAAGGGGGGATCCACCCTTTGCTGTTTTAGGGGTAACCTTCTCAAAAGTTTTTTAATGACAGTGATTAACATCTACTTCCATATCGACACCCTCATTTGTTTGGGAAAACTTGATCCATTTTGAATGTTTTAAAATGTGCACTTTGCAGTTCACTAAACTCCCAAGAGATTTCAAACAGTTTTAATACATAAAAGAAGAGTTTGAAAAGGCACTTCAGACACTTATTGCACTGTTAAAGTAGACCCATTTTTATGACATGCGTACATTCCCTATCCCTATAATTTATAGTCTGTTTCCGATTGTGATTCCTACTATTTGGGTAAATATTTTGGTCTTACCGTCTGGAAGCCGTCACGGTCACGTGACCAAAACCAGGAATTTTTCCTTTCTGGACATTCTCCAAACTGATCGAAATAATTAAGAACCCATTTCGGTGATTTTCGGGGACAGTTATAATATCTGACAATGTTGGGCGTTGTGTAGTTCTCTTTTCATATTTTCCACGTGCATTACAATTTGAGACAGGAAAGAGTTTTCCAAGATGTCCTGGTAATTTTGCATCTTGATCTATATCTTCACATTTTGTACGCCTCTGATTACGCTGTTTACAAACTAACAGACGTGTGCACGTTGCATCTAAGAATGGAAGGCGGCCATATGACCGTAACCTTGCTTCAGGTGCCTCTTGGCAATGGTTTGGGGACTTCGGTAACATACTATGTTTGTTCAAAGAAAAATGCCGAAGAAATTGGTTGTCGAGAATAATTTGATCGAACCAATTTATGGTCGCGACCGCCCAAACGCACCTAATTCAGGCCCGTTGCGTCAGTCTGATATCTAAGGGCGCTTTGCCAACGAGAGAGGGCGCTTTGTTCCCTTAGAACTTGCAGGCTGCATCCGAATCTGTTGTTTACAACTAGGTTTAGATGTTATTACTCTGTTGGAAATACGCGGAGACACAAAGACAACAGAAATAGCTCTGGAGTCCGTTTCGGACACGGACTTGCAGTTGAATGGCATCCCTTCAACGCTGACTCCATCAACTGTTATTTTGCATGACACATGTTACTTTTCATGTTATAATCTACGCAGTACATTCGGAAGGGGATAGTCTGTCCCTGGTCTGTATCCAACGGAGGCAGGCACTTGTCCCACCTTTTCTGGTATTTCTCGGTGGAGGGCACTCTCGTTTGCTGCAATGGTTCTGGTGTGAATTTGATGAGCGACTTTGCCAATACGTTAACGACACGCATTCATGAGAATAACTTCTAAAATCCCCTCACTTTGCGCCCAATGTATTGCCTTTCATGAAAAATACACGGTTGGTAACAAATGTCAATTGAAACACTGTCGAGAGGAAAGTTTGGGATTACAAGACTACTTCATCGTGCACGCGTGGACATGAAACACCCTAGGCCTACGGCTGAAGGGCTGTTTACATTGTTTGTGACACACTTAACAGTTGTTCGAAGAAGAGCTACAGAAATGACTTTTGTTCCGGTTTCGAGACAGTCTCGGAAAATGTTTGGACATTGACGAATGAATCCAGGAAACTTATCAGATCTTCTGTCACGCCATCAAGATGTAATGTGCCCACCTTTCCCGCCCATCCCGGATCTAAACCCAAATGCTCCTGAAATTATTAACTGAAACTAAAGATTTTCAGAAGCAAAGTGTTAATTTGTTACCTTGATCGCTGTGTTTATAAGATTGATTAGGGAGCTGATGGTGATTTGACGGCAATGTTAGATCAGCTATTCAGTAGATTGCAAACAAACTCTCGAGGGTCTATTGTCGATGTCAAGTGCGGCTGTGGAGTTTGCCTCTCTCTTTGAAATCATACTTGCGCAACTGGCTTCAGTTCACACAATGTGCCCGCCACCCGCACCGCTAACATGGAGCTCACCGTGAAGCTGACTCGAAGCCTGTGGGTCCTTCTGGTCGCTTGCCTGGTACGTCAAAGCGTGGCGTTCCTGCCGAACAACGCCGGCAACACCTTGCCCATCACCGACTACACCCTTACCGAAATCACGGTGCAGGGCATCGTGCGTGCCGTGGCCAAGTACTTCGAAGACACCAACCCTGATCGGTACAATCCTGGCGACCTTACGGGACTCAGTCCCCTCACTCCCTCGCGACTGTTTAGACAACATTATGGAGGTAAGGCAGATACAAGGGCTTGAAGCAGACCTGTCTTCTTAAAAAAAATAGTAGGCCTAATTAGTTACGAAGAAATTATTTTTCAGGCTCGTCATCGAAGAGCTACTCTTTGAAAAGGTTTTAACTTTCAAAGAAAAACCTCTGTTTGGTTACTTTTGGAGGTAAACTAAAACAAACAACTGTTGGAGAACATCTCACTTTCAATTATGGCATTCTTTGTCATGATTTTGATGAGGCTATTACCTTTTATTTACTTTCGCAGCACCTTTTTTTTGCATGCTTTGAAAAATACCACGCATGCGTGAAATCTGAGCATGTGACTGAAAAGGTAGGATGGACGATCTTGTAGAATCTGGTGAGGCCGGCTCTATTTTGCCGATCACTTTTAACATTATACTTTTCTCCAAGGACGATATTGGCAAGTGCAAAAAGCAAAATTATGGATGAGAAAATACAAAATGATTCCTCGTGTGTATTTAGTTTTCTTCTCACTGGTTTCAGCCAACTCGAAGCAGCATTTTAAACAGTGTAATCTAGAATATTCCCTTTTTGGATAGAGAAAAACGTTTTCTCTACCAAATTGTGGAGTAAGGGGTAACGGCCACGACAATGCTCAATACTGGTGTCCTGCTAATGCAAACAAGGAATAGATTCCGGCCTCTCTTGGGGCCGGTTTCAAATTCCATTTGAAAAAAAGTGCAGCACTTAGCCTTATCACGTTTTGTTGATTTGTGTGGTTGGTTACCATTTTCAGCTTGGAATACAAACATCCATAGTAACCGCAAGGCACTTCCAAGCAGTGGCAATCTAACTGCCCCTGGACATCCACAGGAATTATGTCGTTGCATTGTGTGATCTTTAATCTAATCACGTCGATCGCAGCTATAGTATTACCATCTACCCGCAAGATATTCTGTTGTATAACTGCACTTTATCTACAACTGATTGAGCAATAATCGGAAAGGAGCTGGTAGTCGGGCTAAACCTTTCAACGGGAAACAAGTGCAGTTAATTAATTACGAAAATATATATTTCTCCATCGTCAATATTGAAGGTTTTTGAAATAAAATCTTTGAAGTAAAACTCCATTCTAACAAGTTGTGGATCACCGTAGGCAAATAGGTTGGAGTTTATTTTCATTTCGGCAACAAAAGAAACCCCAAACACATCAATATCATACATACGTAGAGAAGTTTGTTACAGCAATTAATGGGAACTGGCGTGTTAAGTTTGGTAAATTGCACATAGTCAAAAGTTTTATCAACAGGTGGGGGAAAAAAGGAGCACTGTGCTTCTGAACTCAATCTATTTCAGGACGTATATTTTGCTCCTTTCGCGCGAAGTGTTTAATATTTAACGAATTCCTGGTCAAGAATTAGAATTCGTTTGTGTGCTATTAGAAGTTACATTTCTAGAAGTGTTTAGTTGATTGGTTACATATTTGAATATTCATAATGGAATAAACGGCATTGTCATTGGAAACTACCGACTACTGTAGGAAACCCATAAACACCGGTGCTAAGGAAAACTTCCTTCTTGTGCTACGTTTCAGATCATAGAAACCTTATTTTGTTCTTTTACTGTTTGCTCACCATGCAACGCACTGTAAACATTTACGAGTAACAGGACATTTATTATCAAGGCGGTGTCATGGTTTGTGTAACTTTGTGTATTCTATTCAAATTGAGGGTATATTTTGCAATTTTAAATTACAGCAAATGAAAATGAATAGGCCTACTCATTTCCGAAGGGTCACGGTAAAAGACAGATTTTCAGAGAATAATAATGCACGTTTTGTTATAATTGGCAAGGAATACGTTAATCCGAAATCCCAGTCACGTATTTGTAACCTCCTTATTGAAACGTAATGCACATTCATTTATTTGAAGGATGCAAAACGAAGTCAAATGCTTGTAATTACAAAAATGAAGCCATGGTTCCACTTTTGCAATAACAGGCATTCGACTTAGATTTAGCGTAGATTTTGAAAACGACTTAGTCGTTTTCCAAATCTACGCTAAATTGAAATTTTATTTTACAAATTACATCGCGAATTTTCCGAAATTGGCTGGGAAAGCCTATAGTACGATGTGTTGATGTAGCGGAGTTAATTGAAATAAACTGCTTCCTATTTGACAAGTAACTCCTGAACCAGTCTAAGGTGATTCCTTGTATGCCAAAGGCTCCAATTTGTGGACAAGAATATCATGATGTACAGTATCAAACGCCTTAGACAGGTCCAGGAATACCCGAACAGAGAACTGTCTGTTTTCAATAGCATTTTTAATTTGTTTACGACACTAATAATCGCTAACTTTGTAGAACGATTTGCTCGAAACCCGAACCGAGGTTCTGATGATAGACCATGCTGGTTTATGAAATACATCAAGTGATTCTGTACTTTTTTGAGCAAATACCTTGGGTCTATAATTACTTAAGTCATGTTTATCTCCGTTTTTTGAAAATAGGTACTATTTTTCCAACTTTTAATCCTTCAGGAAAATGCCCAGTGACCAAATGATTTATTAATAAGACTAGCTAGAGGGGTTGATAGGGCATACCCAGATTCCTTAATAACACAAGTAGTTAAACCATCGTAACCTGAGGCTTTTCCATCTGCTTCGGTAATAAGAGCGAAAAATAAAGAATGAGCGAATCTTTCACCAAGAAAGTGGTCAAATGAACTGCTTGATTGAGGAAGTTCACTTGCTATTTTCTTGCCAATGTTTGCAAGTTTGCAAGCTTACCTGAATTTATGGAGAGGGAATCTCGATGAGCATCTTTAAAATGGGTGTTTTAAAAGCTACAAAATAATTTGATAGTTATGTCTTTATTGTACGACGCATTTGAACATCATTATTTGAAATGTGGACTTTACAGATGAATAGAATTATTATGATTATCACCACTCGCAGCTGCCTCAAAGCTCGAAACGCTGACAGCTAATAACAGTGTAAAGGCTACCAGGTCAAATATTTAAAAAACGTTTTAATTTATACAAAGACAGAGATAGGCTAAACTGATTTGGTTTTCCCCCAGTTTTGCTTTCCCCCATTGTTGTGACTGTGGTTAATTTTGACTGCCTTTTGTATAGATTGCGTCTACGCAACAAAATTCGAACGAGCCATCAGAGCCATAGTTGATGCCAATGTTGAGATCTCCGATAAGTACGCTCACAAGGCCATCTGGCACTTCAACGGTAACCAAGTCAATAAAGGTTCGTTTCAAAGACTTTCTTTCTATTTTTTATGATCTATTAAAAATATTGAATATACCGTAATTCTCAGAATTCACATCGAAAGGTTAAATAGGGCCTATTCTGTTTTGCCATGTGTCTATGAATTTGAAATTATCCTCAAACTCATGAAACGTGCCACAGTCGCAATCAGAGCTGCGATACATTTTCCGGCTGCGAAGTCGCGTCAAATACCTCTCAATCTCCCCCGCCCCCAAGGCAACAGCAAGATGGTAAGCATTCGGAGAGCCCTCCTTAACCTGCTGCAACTGGGTAACGAGGACGCGCCCAACTACGACGTGGCCCGCCAGTTCAGCGGCCAGTTCCTTCACATGGCGCAGAGCTTCTACTCCAACACCAACTGGGTCGAGCTGAACCGATGGCTCAACTCGCTGATCGGAGCGGACCAGAATGAAGTTATCACCTCAAGCGAACTAGGTAAGATAGTTTTGCTCAAGTGGAAAGTGAGGATTCTGTTAAAGGTCAGAGACGGTATTAGCTTCCTGTATTTTTTTTATTAAATTCAATTTGATTTCTACTGATGGAAAACTTTGAGTTTACGATTTAGTAGATTGACGTTATGTGGAAGTTTAACAAAACTTTGATTTAGAACTTGTAAAACTTCAAATTTTTCAACATGCTTCCAAAATTCGGAAGCTCTGTAGGCCGTGTACGCCAGGAAGTCCCGATGCACAGACGATAGGACGCATATTAAGTTAACCATAGTCTAATCCGAAGTTTTGCCCGAATTCAGAAGCTGATTGTACGTTGCAAGAACATAGAGAAGGTCTGAGAGGGTCTAAAAGCACAAACAGAACAGCAGAAATTTAAAAACTATCGCATATTTGTTCGTCCTGTTTTCCAACATGCGTTTGCCTCTGGCGCTTTAAGAGAAGAACATTACAGAGAAAAGCCTTACCGACCAAATTCGAACGACTTTATCTTTTTTAATGATTAATATGGGTGAAACTAGCTTTTTGCCTGACCCCCCCCGAAAAGTTGGTAATATGCAGCCTTATAGACATACCTAACGTGTCCTCGTTACTTTCCTTATGCTTTGCCAATTCACATCGAGGCTTCATTTGGCCGCTGTTGCTTCTTCCAATGTCACGGCCCTCCAAGGCTTTCTCCATAAAAGTTCTACACTTCAAAAACTTATTGTTCCCTTGACAGGACAAGAACACAACCAGTAGCGCTGTATAGATACCAAGCGTGTTAAATTTTAACCTTGCAGTTTTTGCTGAGCACATTCAGTATTGTGACGTAGCGTTTAGCACGAGGGGACACAATGACCTAACACTTTTTTTTTATCACAGAGCAACTGGAGGTGCAAGCACGGAGGTGTATATAAAACCTGGGGCCAATTTCATAGAGCTGTTTAAGCACAAAATTTGCTTAAGCGTGAAAATCCTTGCTTGACAAATCAGGTTACCAGCCAAAACTCCACGTGAAGTAAATTGTTTTGGAATGGTATTCACCTGTCTTTTGGTTAGCTTGACAATCACATATTTTGAGCTGGTAACCTTTGTTTATTAAGCACATTTTTTCGTGTTTAAGCAAATTCTGTGCTTAAACAGCTCTATGAAATTGGCCCCTGGACTTGCAACGCCTTTGTATGAGAAACGAAGCCAACCAGCGGCCATTTTACCGAGCCGAATACAAAAGCGTGGGTTGGTCCCCTTCTAATGACGTCAGGAAGAACAAAGGCGGGCATTGCCAGGAAAGCTTTGTATTCGGCTCGGTAAAATGGCCGCGAGTGGATTCAATGACTCTATAAGCTGATTAAGGGAATTGCGAGTCCATATTTTATTATAAACGTCCGTGGTGCAAAGGCGATCACATGTCGCAATTTTAAACTGTCCTGCGCAATGCAAAGCCAGTCAACTACTACGACGAACTTAGATCTTACTAATGGGTCATTCTGTAAACTTGGAGTCCATTTTTTTCTTGTAATTTTCACGATTAATTTAGGAATGCAAATTTAATTGGCAAACAATTATAAATAGTTTGAAACCGATGACATTTCCATGTCAAATTATACAGGTGAGGTGCAGCAGGGACGTGAAATTGTCACACTTTGGGATCCGGAATTTATAGATTGTTGACCCTTAATATCAATGACCCACTTAGCTCTCCAATAACCGAAGTGTTCGGGCTTTTGTTTGAAGTCTGTCTAAGTGGCGTCATCCCATCCTCGAGATACCGCATCCGTTTGAGAATGTGTGCACATTAGGGTGGTCCTTGTCATGGTTACCACCCAGAGCTGAACGCCCAGCAATCTTGGAGTATCCTGCATTCATAGCCGCACCTGCACGGTGGTGCTTCACATTACTCACATTGTGCTTGAACATTGCAAACAAAACATTTTTTGAGAGATTGCCACGTGTAGATTGTAACGGTTGCGACGGAGAAGCGATTGACAGAAACAACACAAAACAGTGACGAGTACATTAAGATAATCGGAGCATTCCACGTGTATTGGTTTCGTTGACGCATCATAAAATGTAGATAGAATCCAAACACAGGTGCGTTTCTCTCAAAAGGGGCGAGACCTTCTGCGAACTAGAAACAACTCCAACAACAAAGAAAGTAAAATATAAGACAAAAAGGCAAAAATAGACACCAGTTCAATTCAATTTAAGATTTGCTGTTTCGTCTGCAAGACAGTAACTGCGATTATTTACAGCATGCATGCAAATGTGTGGCAGTAAACCTGCAAATATATACGGCAAAGGAAACGGCAAAACGGACCTGAGTGAATAAAAAAGGTAGCCATTTTGAAGGAGACACAGGTGGGTGTCGAACCAGATGACCCCGGGGGGGGGGGGTTATGACGCGTTCCTGTATATTACATTACATCTCGACAGGTTTCGTGCAAATAATTATCAGCATGAATAGTCTGGTATTGATTGACGGGGGCCTACGTTCACATCAATGGTATCTTGTGTCCACGAGCGACACGAATTCCTCCATCATCACAAATGCTCATTTATTTCAACCAAGGTGTGGACTAATAAGGGTAGATTAACACGATAAAAATAGAAGTGATATGATAGATGCGGGACTCGCATCTGCGTATTACCATAGATGCAACAAGTGGCGTTATCTACAGTTTTCATACGGTTTTCATACCTTCGGCCTGTTGTGATAAAATGAGGACTTTGAATACGGTGCATTGTCAACTGAGAGGATTTCCGAAAGTCACACCATATTATGCGATGAATTAGTTGGGTATTTCAAAAGGCAAAGTCATTCGAGAACAGAGCAGGCGTGGCAGTTGGCACTTGGCACGGCAGCGCAAATCGGGCTGGCCGTGCACACGTGTATTACTCTTCCCGAATGACCTCGGACGCTCTTCATTTTAGGCACGGAGCTCTTAAAATACTGAGGTCGCTCACTGAAGTGCATTGCTCTCACTGAGATGTCAAATCGTCGTCTTCCAGAGGGAAAGGTTAAATGTTAACCTTTCGCTCTATTGTGCGCAGGTGCAGTCCCTTCAAAAGACCATAATATAGTCATAACAACACATTTTGATCCACTGCCCTCAAACTACACTCATGTAATGAGCATGGTGTATTTACATGCATTGCAAATTATTAAAAGCTTTCATTGCAACCCTATGCTTTATCTCCCCTCGTTCTACGAATGGCAGAAAACAAAAACAAGCATACACACAAAGCAAAGATAAAACGGGGTTATATATGCCTATATTTATTTTCAAGATGAATGCCACCACTCCTAGAACCATTTCAAGAAATAAATCTCACTCCAAGACAAATTTGGGTTGGGAACAAGTTGGGTGTTTTAAAACAGCAAGATCATTCGGGAACAAAGCACGCACGCATGTCCGCGTAGGGCCGCGCTGGTTGGGCAGGCCTCGCACATTCGGAAGACTCACTCTTCCTTCGTGTACAATATAAAAGACCAGATATTCTCCCTAGTTGCATATGAAGTAATTGCTTTGTCTCAGTTACGCCTGGCCGTGGATAGACCAATTTAGGAAGCCCTGCCCACAGTGCAGCCACTTAGCACGTGCTCTTTTCATGCGTGTTCCAGCCTCGCGCATTATAAGCGCATGCACGCATGTCGGACGTAAATGATTTAATGGATCGGTCTTTAGACTTAACTGACTTCATTTTCCCATTTCTTTGTTAAACTTTTTAGGGATGAATGGTTCCTGCTTACATGTATTTAGAAACTTTGTTCACGTCATTTTTATTCAGGTATAATTGCTCCGCTGTCTTGGCGGCAAAGCCCAGGAAGCGTGGACATGTGCCAGAATTGCCCGGGATCCACCTCACTGTGAGTTGTTGAACTGTGAAAAATTGTGATGATGGCACCAAGTACTAGTGTCTGCATACCGAACACGCTCACACAAAATAACAATAATTATTACATCCGCCAAAGAGGCTATGCTTTCCCCCCGTTTGTTTTTCTGCTTGCGACAGAATTTCCAAAAGTTATAAACTAGAGTTTTTTCTCATCAAATTTTATGTAATGGAGGAATCATGACCCAAGGTTCTTGATAAGATGAAGTTAGGTTATGACGACGTCACCATTTGACTTTCTAATAAATTTTAAAATGTTTGATTTTACGCATGACGCATGACGCGTTAACAAAGACTGGATTGCCGTTCGGCCTTTTGCAGAGATATGCTCTTTTAAGCCTAGTGTTCATGTCAGAGTAAAGAGACGCATACAGCATCGCCGAACAGTCCCCGATAATGTGGAATCATTATGTAAACGATCTGGTCCTCGAGTTGGACCAAGAGAGGGAACTATTTTCTTAGCAAAGGAGACTCCTCTGGTCGGAACTGCACTCCACCAGTTCACAAACGACTATGAAATGCACGCGTTACGGTTACGTCGCTACCAGCAAAACGAACACTTCCGACCAACGCGACTCTTTCCAACCGATGAGAGGGCGCTTCTGCTCAAGGCGGATAAGGCGACTGACGCAAAATCTTACGCAGGCAGTTGACAATGTTGGACCATGTTCAGTTGTGTGCGTCGATTTGTTTGAGGAGGCCCATACAAACATGCACATTAGCGTGACTGCCATACATTGATGGCTCTCTTGCTTGAGTTCCCTTGTATTTTGCCAATTTTTCTTCTGACGACTAAGTAAATGCAGACGTTAAGTGACTAACTCAAGCCACAGCCTATCGCCATCAGCTGGATTCAAACCCCCCCGACCCTCACGAACCTTGAAGAACTAGGCCACATGTGCCGTGCGTACTATTATATAATGGCTCATTTATTTCTCAATTCTTATTTTCCTCCTGCACAGCCCTGGATTACAAGACTGCTCTGACAATCTTCGCCCATATGTCTACTACCTGACGAGTGGTTACAGAAGCGGACAGAACGTGAACAAACCAGGTAGAGTTACCATTTCAAGTGGCCCAACTTTGAAGTAAAATACACTGCACATTATGCCACTTCTCCTTGTGTTGTAGTGATCTATTGACAGCCTAAGACTTACAATTTTAATCGGGAAAGGGCTTGGTTCCAGCTAACAAACATGGTGATTCAACCTTTCAGATGCCATTTTTCAATGCTTCAAACATCGTGGTTCAACTGTCAAACACAGCGGAGTCAACTTGACACCCGTGATTCATTTTTCCAAGTTTAAGTTTTCGAGCGTCGTGGTTCAATTTTTCAGACGTTGTTGAATTTTTCAAACGTCGGTCAACTTTCACGCGTCAAGGTAAACAATTTTTTTAGGTCGGCCTGGTCGCTATTCAAGTCTGGAAGCTCTAGAGTTGATCGCGTTGACTTGCACAGATTTGAATTGGGACTGAGTTGACTTCAAACTTGGTAGACGACGTTCAAAGGTCGAAGCATAATACTCTCAAAAGTATTACTTGAACCGCACAGCACTCAAAACGCTCGAAAGTTTCAGGTGGTAACTCTGAAATGGCAACACGACGTTGGAGAGTTCAGCCAAGACGTTCGCCTGTTTCGATATCCAACACTGTACAGTAGAGTTAAGAATTTTTTGTTCAGTTTATGAAAATAACTGATTTGGACTCCAATATCTGATTCAGCAGTACATCATGTTAGTGTTTCCACTGCATACATTTTTACAGACACAGTGTAACTTTTTGAAATCGCACTTTTTGTGTTATAGGTGTTAGGGAAGGAAGGCCTTGTTATGACTTTTTCGTGGGAGTCATAAGTTACCATAAGTGTCAGACACTGCCCAACGTTTGAAACTGGCGTCTTTTAGTGATCTTCAACAATGTGGACTTTTTTCATTAAGATTTCCGACAGATATTTTGACATTTACAAATGTTTAAATAACTTTTAGGTCTAAATGTACAACTTCCCATCGATACCTAACAGTGTCCTTTAGATTGATGGCTGCTGACGAGGTTTTGATTGTTTTGGTACACACTAGTTTGTTTATGCGCCCAAAGTCAAAGTGGTCATAAATAATTAACAGTCGTCAAACACGCGACACGAAGAAGAGAACTTCAAGAGGTTATCAAACAGATATTTCGTGCGAAGGTGGCAAGAGTTGCAGCGATAAATGTGATCGGCGCCACGTCACTCAAAGGAAAGCTATTTGTGGTTACTTTATCAATAGGCATCACGATACCCCCCAGAACATATTTGCACATGTATGCCCCAACTCAAGCTGAGAGAAAAATGGCGGAGTTCAAAAGTCCGTAACCCCTTGTACTTGCTTAAAGGAGTTTCCAAAATTAAACAAAAGATCAAATAAAGACGGGGGACAAACAGAAATTGTGCAACTCGGTCACCGGACGGCACTTCTTAAAGGACAAATAGTCAAGGTTAAAAATGCCTAATACAAACGTCGTCTGTGAAAGGACACACTTGAAATTTGTCGGACACCATTGTTACTCTCTAAGTGTTACCAAGTTGACAAAATGGTTGCTATGTATCGTGTAAAGAAAACAAAACTACAATGACGTCATTATTCATAGCTTTAAACCAGAAGTATAAAGTATGAGAGTTATTTGTCTGCTGATCAGCAAAGTGGAATTTAAAGTAGGCCTAAATGGAAAAATACGAGAAATGAAATTAATGACGTTGCTCTGCATTTTAAGAATAACCCCGTTGGGCACATGTTACTGCTCCTTTCCAAGCTCCCTCCGAGGACGCCATAGGGTCTGCTATACCCAAAACCCCTTCCTCTCCCACGGCGTTAAGGTTTCCAATCCCCTAAGTTTCAACGAGCCTCCCCTTCGCCACAGTATGTCTACCGTACCTGGGCCCCACTTCCCACCAACTCCGCAGTATCCTACATTTTGCCAACATCCGAGTCTATCACCCCGAACCCAACAAGCTGCAATCTGTACTCGACACCCACAAGGACAAGCATCTAACCAACAGTCGCCCCGGTGTATACACCGGGGCGACTATATACCACATTCTATGTGAACGTGACCAAGTATACATCGGAGAAACCGGCTGGAACCCCCCCCAGGCTCCAAGAGCACCGTGCGTACGGCCGACGAGGAAAATACGACAAGTCGGCCATTGTCAAACACGCACACTCCTCGGACCACCACATCAAATAGGACAACGCAGAACGTATAGCCCTCATCCAGAACTGGATTCCGAGAAGAATCTGAGAAGCCATCGAGATTTCCGGCACAACACCGTCCCCCAAGACATCGGTTTCACGCTCAGCGACACCTGGCCCCCACCGTAAACTAGTACCCAAGCCAACTCCCACCCCAGGCAGTAGGGTCACCTATAACTGAAACCCATACCACCCACCCAGGCGTTAGGGTCTTCTCTACCCGAAGCCACACCCACTTCCCCCTTGGCATAAGGGTTCCCTATATCCGAACCAAAGGTTTCCCGCCGATTGCCAATTGCATCCCCGAACCACTACAGGATCCAACACCTTCATGCTCCGGTGCACGCGCAGCAAGCTATACAACCCGCGAATCCCGTTTCATGCTCCACCGCTCCCGGATAACCTTTATAACCCAGCTCTCCACTCGAATCTGGCACTCTGTCCTGAGGACGGCCAGAGCATCCTGGCCGAAACGTCGAGTTAACACGCACATGTTCCTCGAAGAACCATACCTGTTCCAAAAGCGAGATTGATTCCATGGTGTACCCGTAAGCCTGCATCTCACGTAACTTCCACCATGCAAATCTTACTTAATAAACCGTTATGAACGTGAATTTGACATTCATGGAGCATTCGGGACCAACACTGCCAAAGTTGGAATGCATTTATTCCAGTTTTGCTAATTCGCATTAGGATTATTTGCCGTAATTGTGACGTTTTCTTGTCTGCATTTGCAGACTCGTTCGTTGTAGTCAGTGGAAAGGTAAACAAGAAATGAAGTTGCAACAAAGTCATAACCAAATTCGCCATGGAAATTTTTCATTTCAGTACTAAGCATGCATTGTTCGTAAATTGTAAACGATAACATAATTTCTTTCCCAAAAATTGAACAGAGAAATAACACTCACTACAATTACCTGTTATTTCCACTTTCATCTTTGGAGTATATTCACGTATAGGGTCTACGATCGAACTATTTGTGGTAACAGAATTCATATCTGAATGAAAAAATATCCTGTCGGTCTGTCTGCTTCTATGGTTGAACATACTCCTGAATTTCCTGTGTTGACGTCACAATTTGCAGTGACCCAAGGAAGCCCACGAGGGAACGTATGGTTCGCAGACTAATATTTTTGGGTCACTTCCAAAGGGAAACTGGGACCTAATCTTGTGCATTTCTGCTAACCCCGACTTTCTTTAGCTGCCTCCCCGGGAAACATCTGGGGCAAATGCTCCCATGGTGGTCTCCACGACGCCTCGTGGACCGAGGTGGCAATCGGAGGCATCAACAAGGAGTCGTCGGACGAGCAACGATCTCCCCACTTCGATCTCCACGAGCAGGCGGCACTGACGGCCCTCCAAGCAACTGAGGACTTCTTCTATCGTTCTGGTAAGCAGTGGTGTAATTTGCAGTGAGGGGTGAAACCATGACACTGCCATTGGTGCCTCCTGTACATCCCCCATAAGATCGAGGTAGGATCCGTACGTGTTTCCGTTGCTATGAAATTCTGTTCTATCTGACCACCCACCGGCTCCGTTCGAAATGGACCTAGCCTCGTTTGTTAACAGCGGTGGGTAGTTGGACAGGCCGGAATTTCTTTGGTATTATTATCAACATATTAGATACACTAGATATTTTTCCATTTTATTCCTAGTTTTTCCATAATGTGAACCTCATACAGGATGGTATAAACTGAAAGTACAGTTGGCTCCTCAATCGATACTTACTGAAACCGCCGAAAATAATTCGGATTGTTGAAAAGTCATCCAAGTTACCCAAAGAATCAGTATTAGCACGGTAATCTGATCCTGCAATCTGTCCATCTATCTTCCCCAATACTATAACCCTTACTCATGTATTCATATTCATGTGATAATAAACATTCATAAAAACCTCAGACAGTCTCCCTATTCAACAACGGGCAACTTGACCATTCATAAACATTTGATAATGCCCAGGTGATAATGCCACATGGATACGAGAGAGTTCAATCGATTCTTATTGGTCAAGTGTCTGTTCGCAACTCGCGCACCAAGTCCATATAAGGAGATTCTTTTGGACAGCTCACACAAGGAATATTCCATAAAAAGGACAGGGGTGTTTGGGAAAATGGAAATAAAACTCTAGAATAAAATCATGAAGAATCCATTGCGTATTGACTTCTTTTGACTTTATGACTAAAAAGGTATTTATGCATGGGAATAAATATGTGGGAATAATGTGTTATGTAAACATAACGGGAATAAGACCGGCCCAGGACAATGGACGTGACTAATGCTCTCGCCGCATTCCCTTATTAAAAGTGGTACTAAAAACTGGGGGAGGGGTTGATGTGGGGAACAGAGCCCTTGGGCTCATTAAATTCATGGCATGACAAGTTGATCGAGATGGAATATCCCTTTATGAATGCCAGCTTGGGCGCCAAAAGTGATTCTGATGTGGACGGGGAGTATAAAAAAGCAATCAATAAAAGAACTGCCAAAAGTGATGAAGGAAAAAAAAGCTACCCGACGCATAAATTAAGGGGTAGATATAAAGGGGTGGGAATCCCTGTCCAGACTTTTGAACTGATAAAACATATTACTGAACCTGGACCCAGTTCTCATTTAGAAAATGTCAAAATGAGCCCCCCCTGCAACAGTGTGACAGGCTTTTACAGAAACTGTGAACTTTCTTCCACCAGGTACTGGTCTCTACGGACTTATTGGCGAGAGGAAATTCCGCCGGCTGCTGAACTTGGATGTAGGGACGTCACTTACCTTCGTCATCGACGTGTCCGGAAGTATGTCAGATGACATCAAGGCTGTGAAAGAAGAGACCATCCGCATCGTCGAACTACACAAGGAGACCTGCTTAGCTGCTTCCAAGTATGTGGTTGCTCCCTTCAACGATCCCGGTGGGTATTCTCTGCACCAGGCAGAAAGTGGTGCCACATTCAGATGTATACACCTGCAATAGCCCTAGTTCTTGGAGTGTCTTCCAACTTGGATGCAGGGACTTCGCAATACTTGAGACATCGGAAACATTTAGAAATGATTACATTAAAAACAAATAAACAAATGCAGAACAAAGAGCAAGCCCCTCTCCACTATGCTAGGTTTTACTTTTGTGTTTCATCAACTTACCATACATGTGGATCGGTCTTAACCTTTATTCGGAAACAAGTATTGTAATTATTATGCACAAGTAATTAGGCTACTTTCATACTCCATATAAACGTTCATTCCAAATAAGGTCAATCTTTTCTAAACTTTGGACAGAAGAGATCCTTGGCGGACACCCCCTGCTTCAGGCAGATCCACCTAAACTTCAGACCTCGTTAAATTTAGTGAGAAATGTTTTTCCCTTCTGTTATTTGGGTGTGAGGTACATGTACCTTCTTCACATGAAATACTCTGGGTTTTGAATTGGGTTAGTTCACTTAAAATGATCACAGCGGTTGTAAGCTTTATCCCTATAGTAATTGCAATGCCTGCTCATTTTATAGGCTATGGGCCGGCTCTGGTGAGCACAGATGCACAGAAATGCATCGAGTTCCTCGGCAATTTGACGGCCAAAGGAGGAGGTGACTGCCCTGAATTGGCCAACAGTGGGTTGGAACTTGGGGTCCAGAATAGGTGAGATGAAGCCTGTCACAGTGTTTGAGAAGGTTGCACATTCCTTGTCGAAAGAATTCCATACGCGGACGCCGCTTCACACTCTGTGCACCAACCCTGTGAGTCTGGTCTGAAAAATTCTAAGTGGTTTCTGAGTAGATACCTCAATAATTTTACTGCAAAATTAGATTTTTCGGGAAATGTCATTTCTCTTAGATGGCTAATAGGTAACTGCAGGGAAATATTGGCGGCGTCCAAACATGGAATAATTTCCTCCAGCAAATCAGTTTGCTTAGTGGTACATCGCATCTCTTGGTCACTAAGCATGGAGTCCATCAGGAGTTTCCTTCCTCCTTGGTCGTGATTAGTGAGTGTGTTCCACTTTGATGAAGAGTCGATGAAGCCAGCATGGGCAACGTGCTGTAAAATCCACCCACAAATCAATAAGCTGTGTGGCTTGAATGCACTTGAAGATATGTCGATGTAACATTTGTAACCACACAACCCTTTGTAGACCATTTGTGCTACCATATCCATATTAGCTGGTTCATCCCTCAGAAATAATTAGTTTAAATATTTTTATAGGTCTGAATTGCCAGGGATTTGGTGTGGAATCTCAATTGAGTCTTTGCTGTTACCATAGAAATGACCCTTCCATGTTATGAAATATCCATAGGTAGGCCCTGGGGAGTCAGGTTGCAAGATAGTTCTTTCCTCGCCTTCCACCTCTGCGGTCCCGGGTTCGATTCCCGGTCCACATGTGGATTGGGTTTTCACTCCCTACCTGACTCCGTGGGATTTACCCAGAATATTCCTCTGGGGTTTTCTTCCCACGTCTAAATCTGTATCTGCTTCTTACTGTCTCCCCTTTACTGATGTTGGTGAGTATGAGTCGTTTGGCGGCTGCCCAAGACACCCTTGTATGCCATCGGCTCAACCATGTTTAAATGTATTCATTGTTCCACGCTTAATGTCTTCATTGTACAGCGCATTTGAACATATCTATGAAATTTGCGCTTTATAAACGAATGAATGAAATTCAAATTTAACATGTAATACCTGTGGAAGTTAGTTACCTCTGGAACTATGAGGCTCCAAACCAAAGGCTCATTCAGAAGCAGAAATCAGGGGCCATCTCAAAACTTTGAATATGCCTGTTCCTAATGGAATACTGCTTGCTGGAACAACGCGTGTTCCAGGTTGACATTTGCTCTGTCATACCTACCAGTAACAACACAACAGGTCACCTTTCCTATTGTGGAATCTTAATTTTTCTGACAAGAAACAGCAAGTGTTCCCGACTTGAACAAGGAATAACCTCATCGGGACGTTCCTTTAGCGTTCTTTGTTTTGAGACACTGCGTTAGTGATCTGCCTCGCCTGTAGGCATGACTCCAACCAAAGCCCATTTCCCTCGTATCTATGCAGCATCATCGGCGCCAATGTATACATGTTCACGGATGCCACGGATAAAGACAAGGAGAAGGTGCCGGATGTGCTGGCATTGATTGAGGAGAAAAAGGTCCACGTCAAGTTCCTCTTGACTGGCACTTGCAGTTCCAGCCGCCGCAAACGAGGTAATTGAAGTTTGAGTTCCAGGTTTTAGTACGTTTCTAGTGAAGATGACAAAAAGGAACGATATTGAAGGACACTGGCATGAACAAGGCTTGGGCTTCCACCTAAGGCGTGACGTGCTAACACTAAAGGCCCTTTGCCCATTTAGGGGACTAGGAAAGAGTTCCATACACGAACTGTGTTTGACGGTGTGTGCATTAACCCCACGAGAGAGCTTGGCTGACCACTGACCACCGAGCTCGCTGGGGTCGGCTGGCCGGTCTGAGTCAAGTGTAGCAGCGGGTACCGCTTTTCAAGATGTACTCTGCGCTGGGGGGAGATTTATAAAGGCTAAACCCGTAATATAAATTGACATCTCCCCAACGCAAAGTACATCTCGAAAAAAGTGTTTTCTTAGTAAATGCTTCAATATTGTTCCTGCTAAATTTGACTTCTTGGGACATGTTATCATTTTTCTAATGACTAATAAACCGGTGCAAGGGAAAATTGTGATGTCTGCATACGGAACTCTTACCCCTATTTGGTCAGGTGCACGCTTTGTCATATGTGCACAGTGGGGCCCACAGGAATCGCGTGTATGCATGTGATGTGTCCTTAAGTTGTACACGTGTCCCTTGTTTGTAGTCCATGAAGTGGCATCTTCATTCTTGCAAAGATTTTTTGGTAGCACATTCTGTTCAATGAAAGAAGAACCTTCTTCCCAATCGTCTTGACATCTTGTGATTGGACAAGTACTTGCCTTGACACAGCTATATGTCGGCCAGTGTTGATGTTACTGGAGATGAACGATATCAAAATAGCACTTGTCTTATCCACCAATGTTTCTGCAGCGACTGATTGGTCAACATTGTCGCCATCCTACCAAATTATCGCTGAAGCTTCGGGTGGAGAGATTTACAGGACCGATAAAGATGGAATCCGTGACCTAGCACGAATCATGGAAGGTGACATTCGTGCCTCCCAGGTAGAGGAATTAAAGAAATGAAGACGGTAACAAATGTCTTGTTAAAATGAAATCATTATGGTGAATAACTCCAGTTGTTTTCTTTTTCAAGTGATTGGTGATCACGTGCTATCCTTTTAATTGCACTGAATAAACCAGTTCGGTATTTCGAACCGGCAAAGTCAGTTTGTTTCTAAGCCCATGCATAAAGGATCCCTGTCGATTTCTTAAGACCAAGTACAGTACGCTCACAACCGAAGCCAAACAAACCCAGTGAGACCAGACAGTAAAAGTGGGCAAATTTAGGATGAAAACAAAGTGAATAAAGTTTTTATCCTTGTACGTTTTTCAACACCCTGCCCCTGTTTTTTTCACCTTGTCCATTTATGTGCATGCGTAAAAGGGTCCAAATAAAGCCCTCGAAATAAACCAGGGAACTGTGGTTGCAATTTATCCATAGGCCAAATAACACGCGTCGTCTTTTGACAGGTTTCAATAATCAAGAGATCTTCGCTGAACCTTGATGCCCTCAGCTTGGACATACCAGTCGATTCCACTGTACAAGAGGTCCTGGTGTCTGTAGTCGGAAGCTTGAGCAGCGACTCGGTGATCATCAGGCATCCGAATGGTGGGCCACTTTTTTTTTTTTTACACAGATCTTGATGAAATTCTCAGATTTCATCTTTGCCTCACCACGCTTTTGATTTAAACATTTTGCAAGGACTTTTTCAGGATCGTTTTAATCTTGAAAAATTATCTGTCACCTTGTTTGAAAAGTAGGTTTGATATCAAGTACAATGCTTCCAATGCCATTACAGATGTTACTTCTCAAGTCATAAGTTTATGGTAAAAATACGTGGGTGGTTTTGTCCTCAAATTGGTTATTTTCAGCCTTTTATACAAAATTTTAAATGTATAACAATGGATCGTTCAGGTCAATTCAGACTTAATTTTTCTAATTCAGTTAGTGTAGGGTTCATAACGAGGTATACACAAACTATCACACAAAATGTTTCACCGTTACCGAAAAATTCAACTTCAAAATGTGAAAATTGCTCCTGTTATTTCAAGTGTCATATACTAAATATATGCTATAATATACTGCTAAATACAAAAACATTGCAACACTCGATTATTGTAGTGGTTATTTAAAAGTTCTCTGCCCAACCAAAGGTGAATATGCTATGCATGGTGTCCTGGTAATGTGGTCATGTATTCTGGCTTAGCAAACAGTTTGTGTGCTTATTAATTTTTTTTATCTGGCGATGCTTAACGCAGTCTGAATTGTGATTCGTGCATTGTGTTTTGTAGGTACGGAAGGCACCCCGGATGAGTTAGGGGCAGACATCTTCACAAACTCTGCAGAACAGATCGTGTTCAGCATCAACGTCACAGAACCAGACACAAAGGGAAATTGGGTGGTAAAACTGCAGAACTTGAATCTGGCGACAGAGTACTACATCAAAGTGTCCGCCAACAGCGTGCTGGATTTCACATTTGACATCCTGGAGACAGACGAAACAGGGACTGCTTACCCCGTTGACGGGAAACCAGTCGCAGGTGAGTGCCTGGTAATATTTCAAAAAATGAATTGGTCTGAAAAAGGAAGTTGATCTTCGACTTGAAATCAAATAAACTATAAGTTTGTATGACACTTTACTGATGTGTGACATATTTCGCTTAATTGAAACACGTTTTAAGGGTTTGCGTGAGCAAGCAATTGATGCGAAGATTACCCCAATTCTTAGTTCATTTGGATGAATTTTAATACAGAGGGAAATAATTTGCTCCAAGCTGTGGGCAGTTGATAGTTTGACCAACACATACAAAACGCCGCACAAGCAAAAACACCAGCATTTTTGTAACTTCTTTTAAAAGGAGCTGAGGTGCTACTCACCGTCCAAGTCTCGGCTCCGGAAACTGTGTCCTCAGTCAGCGAGATAAAACTGTACAATGCTATGGGAAACGAAACATTGGTAACCGCAAGTGCTACGCCTGTGGAGGGCAGGACAGAGGGGTTATTCATGGCGAGTCTTACTCTTCCAAACGAGGTTGGTTGTCATTTCGAGCTTTTATCGCAATAATCCGTACGATTTTACCAGTTTTACTGGAATCAGTTCCCCACTATACCAAACCATTATTTCTACTCAAAACACTTCATAAAAAAAAAGACTTGTAAGGTAGGGTACTCTTTCCATAAGTTTAAAAAAGCATGAAATATATCTACAGGTGGATTGCATCCTTCCGAGTTTTTTTTATTATTGTGCAGTAAAGCAAAGCATAGATCCCAGACAATTTAAAATGACGGAGAAATCATCTTCAGTCTTCACTAATGTGTCCATCCAGAACCAAATCCAACTCGAGTTTTCCTTGCTTTAAATCATAGAGGGCAAGACGTTTTTCCAGAACTTTGGATTCCAAATTACATGCATGACAATATTACAATCACAACCATTTCCCTCCTAAGACCACAGAGACAACACACCAGTCGCTTGTTTGCTTTTCTTTCAGTATTGGCATGTTATGATTGTATTTCTTTCAGCCGTTCTTTGTCAGCATCGTTGGGGAGGACACCCAGGGCATGGAGTTCCTGCGGACACAGCCATCAGAGATCAAAGTCGTGGAATTCAAGCTGGAGGAAATTTCGGGCTCCAACACCGTAGGTGAGTACCCTCTGAGAAGAGCAGCTCCTGCTCTAGCTTGCCGAGTTTCATGCTAAAATTCTCAAACAAGCAACTGGACCTCCATTCCTTTTTTTTAGAGATCAAAATTGTGTCTTCAATTTAAAATTAAAAGTGCCAGTGGGAACAGAATCTGCCCCCTGCGACATTTCCTCTGATATCATAATACACTTTCCCCCTCGTCATGCCTTCAGAGTGTTTCCAGTAATGTCAATTACTGACATTTTGACCCTGACTTTGCAAAGATGGGCCATACATAATCTTGTATAACACCCAAAAAGCTTTAAAAAGTCTAAGTCACTCCATCCTGTGACAATTCACAATTTGCACCTTTTGTTGACAAAAACTATCATTATCTTTGAAACCGTTGGCAAAAGAGGCCACAATCTTTCGCAGATGCCAGATTTTCAGATAAATTTTTTTGGGGGCGGGGGGTTTCCTCACCTGCATGGTCAAGTGATGCCCATGCCTGCGCAGTAAGTAAATGCAGTAAATGAAACATTGATGGTCACTCGCAGACAATCTCGTACCTGGAGGTAATGGCAGTTTCTCCTTCCGAGTAACCAACAGCGGCCCAGATGACACCCTGACCATGACTGTGTCGGTCCTCGAAACGGCTGTCAACTCTTCGAGAAGCGCCCTGAGAGCTGTCTCAGGCCCAGTAGTCACTGCTGCTGTGGAACCGGCCAGCATGGTGCTGGCTACTGGGGAGAAGGGCGAAGGGGTGTTGACTGTGACTGCTGCTGAAGATGTACCTGCCGGCACGTCGGTGTAGGTTTGCTGTGCGCCTTGAGATGAAGAGTACCCTTGAGGCAGGATGGTGGAAGGTTTTTCGTCTGGGCTCAGATCTGTGTACAGATCTGACACAAAGGCAAAAATCGTACAATCAAACAGAAGTTGGTCATGGGTATTTAGTGCGTCCCGGGCCAAACGTGGGTTATAAATCTGTGCTCGCACGTGATGAGCTCCCCCCACGGGACTGTCTTTGCTATTTAAAAACACGTGAGCGCACGCGACCAGTTTATGCGGGAATGTATGGTCTCTACTCGTCAGACACCCAGATGAAACAACGCCTGCCAACCTGTCTCTTTTTGCCAGCGATCGCGCGATGGAATGCTTCAAGTCACAGCAGATGGGCTTGTTATTCTTCGTGTAGACCCGTGAACAAAAGAGGTCCATATAGTGGAGATAGCGAGGACACTGTGTCCAGGTCTCTACGCAAAGTTTTGCCTTCCTGAAAAACAGACTTAGAGACATTAAAGAGTCGGGGATTCAGTCACATAAGGAAGAGAAACTTCCTTGAGTATTTACACCCATTTTTTTTCAACTAGATGTCCTCACTAGGAGTGTAATGCCAGCATACCGGTACGTGAACAGGCGCAGGTGTTTTCGCTCCATTAAAATGAGAGTCTGTCATTGTCAGCTCAATATCATTTGTCACTTGTATAGACGGACTGAAATCTAAAAGAAAAAGGAAGTGGATAGAATAAGGTGTTCCGTTGACATACACATTTTTTGCTTATTTTTCGCTTATTTTCGCTTATTTTTGGAGACAGCTAGGTCAGCCAAAAGCTTCAAATGACCGTCACAACAAAGCAATACCTTAGGCTGAGTTCAAACTCAACATTTGCACTGATAAAAAGTGTCTTTACATGCATGTCAGGTTTGAAAAAAAATCTGGCTTGGAACGGGCAAGTTTTTTTTTGGTGGGGGCAACATCCACTGTAGACCCAGGCTGTGAGATACTCTGAAAGGAGGGTTAAAAAATTGTAAAGATGTTGAATACGCCCAAGCATTATTTAAGGCCCCTTTATTGTGAAGAACTTTGTTTTGGCTACTTTTTTACAAATGAAAAGAATGACTTTGAGCAAAATCTACATGCATTTCTCCATGTTTGTCTCTTCAGCAAAGTGACATTATCTATCGCGAGTTCGCTGTCTTCGTCACTGAATTTCCTGTCGATCGACGCCACGGTCTTTGCAGTTGAGAATGATACAGATGTAAGTGAAGTCATCACTGTGGGTTTAGGTTCGGTTCCGCCATGAGATAAAATCTCTCGTGAGCACTGGTAAGATTCCAACCAGCCATTGAACTTTTTGGATTGTTGGCGAGGCACTTTGTAGAACTGGGGAAGTTCACACTGCCCTTCTTCTTTCAGAACTTCACTAACTTACTAAACCTTCCCCATGAAACCTTGGATTTCCATTAGCTGATTCAGGGAGACACCTTGCTGTTTTCCC